AAGCCTGGCCCCATCAGTTAGCAGCTATGTGATCTCAGATAAGTTATTTAACTTCTCTGTGCCTTTCCTTGTCTGTAAAATGTAGGTGGTATAACACCTAGATCCTGGTTTTAAGGAGGAATAAATAAACCTTGTAAAATACTGAGCACAGTGTCTGACACTACAAATGTTCAGTAAATGTGAACTACTATTCTTTGCATCTGCAAGTTCTACCAGTCCCTTACACTCCACATGCCTGGAACTTCTTCTGCCTCCTGTTCCCCGCTTGTGACTGACATCTGCCAGCAGTGGCTGCATTCTCTCAGGCCCATTTGTCACCTTGGGCTCCCTGGGTCTCACCAGTCATCTTCTCTGCTCCATGTGGCCCTCCCACCAAGCCCTCTTCATATTCAGTCAAGGTCTGCCCATCTTCCACTCCATACAGACCCTGCAATGGCTCTCTGTTCTCTACCATATGCAATGGGAATGTCTAAGCATACTACATAGAGCCCCCTAGGCTCCAGCCTCTGCCTTTCTCTTCCAGGCTTAGGTCCATCCTCTCCCACCCATCCCAGCTCCCTGTTGTTCCCTGGGGCCAGACTGCCAACAGAATGCTTCTTGGAACCTCCCCGTCCTTCCCCTGCAGCACGTTCAGCATAGTAGGTCCTCACTCCTCCAGGCCTGTGGGTCTCAGCAGCTCAGCCCCTCTGTGCACAGTTGTCAGATGCACCTTCATGGACATACATTGTCACACTTCTATGCCTTTGCCCAGAGTGCTCTTTTCCTCTTTATCTGTTAAATATCCATCCTTCCTGGGCTGCTCCAGGGCCACAACTGGGTGAAACTGGGCCACCTCTGTAGCTGAGTTGAGCCCTAGATCTCTGTGCACCCATGGGCTCCCATCCTGCCCTGGCCTCGGTCCCAGCACTATCATAGTCCATTGCAACCTTGATCCAGCAGGGCTAAGCTCCTCTAGGAGGGTGTAGGTCACTCCTGCTTTTTTTTTTTTCCTTAACATTCATGTGGTTCAGGAGAATGGGTTTGCGTTTCTTTTCTGTCTCTCTCTCTCCCTTCACTAGAATACAAACTCTGTTTTTGTTGTTGTTTTTGGTGCTATTAGGGTTTGAACTCGGGGACTTGCCCTTGCTAGGCAGGCACTGTACCACTTGAGCCACTCTCCAGCCCTTATGCTCTATGTTTTGATGAGTCCTCAGAGCGCAGAAGAGTGACTGGTACATAGTGAGTATTAAATGAATATTTGTTGAATACATTGTTGAATCCCTGATTAATGTCAAGCCACCTAGCATCTATACCCAGCACATAGCCTGGCATATTGTAGATACTAAGTATGGGTGCTTCTCCGCTTGCCATGGGGTAGCATCCTGATGAACTCACTAAGTATCACAGCTTAGCCTAGTCTACCCTACACATGCTCCAAACACTTACATTACCCTACAGTTGGGAAAAATCATCTAATTACAGCTTGCGTTATAGTGAAGTGTTGACTATGGATGGAGTGTATGGAATGTGAGCATCCAAAAAACACTGGCAATACAGTATTCTGTGTTTGTGTTTTACTCTCCTGATCGCATGGTTGACTGGAATCTCTGGCTACTGTGGCTGCCTAAATCTTGCTAGCCTGGGAAAAGGTCAAAATTCAAAGTACAGTTTCTACTGTGTATGGCTTTTACACCTTTGTAGAGTCAAAAAAATTCTTAAAATAGAACCATTGTAAGTCAGAGACCATCTGTTCTAGGATGTTCTTTACCATGTGGCTAAACTGTTTTTTATTTTATTTTATTTTTTTTTTTTCATTTTTCTTTTATTATTCATATGTGCATACAAGGCTTGGTTTATTTCTCCCCCCTGCCCCCACCCCCTCCCCTGTTTTTTTTTTAATTCAAATGCTAGTGTTGGATTTGATGTTCTCTAGTTTTTAATCATACTCCATTTCGAATCCAAGGTCAAGCATATCTTGACCTTGACAGCTCTGCTTCCTGCCCTTGAATGTGTCCAGGCATTACTCTCTCCACACTCTTGCCTATATTCAAACAAAACACTACTGATCAACTTACTGAATATGTGGACACCAGGCTGGTCACTTTCTAGCCACTGTCCTCCACTTATGAGTATTCTGTGTCCCTTTCACCTCAAGGTGAAGACAAACTGATCCCCCTTTGGGAGTCTCCCTGACTATTTAGGTCTCTGTGACTCTCCTGGGCACTAATGACCCATGTGGACATAGCACCTCGTCACTGGCAGTAATAACCCATCAAGAGACAATAAACATGCAGATTTTATAGAAGTGCCCTTTAAAGGACACTTTAGATGAAAATCTTTCTAATATTTATTTTACATCTTCCCTATCTTCTTAGCTAGAACACTGTACAGAGAGCACTCACCTAACATTCATAGCACAGGCCCATTCCTGTGCATACCTGATGAAAGGGAAGTCATGGAGTCCTCACAGTGGCACCCATTGCAGTCCCTGCAGTCTCTCTGAGATCACCTCTGACTCTCTTTAAATGTGTTTTTAATCAACAATGGGCTAAGGAGTCAGATAATACGGTTTTTAGAATTGTCTGTAAACTCAGTGTAAACAGTCTCTAAGTGTGGGTAGACTTACACAGTTCTTTTGTTGGATCAGAGGCTTTTCTTTTCACTGGTTTTTTTGGTTCTCTTCAGAATTCTTGAGGTTGGATAAGTAACTTCTCAAGAAGTGTGCCTTCAGTACATTTAGCACTTTATGTATTATCTGTTGTTGTTAACTGACTTTATGTGCAAATATCATGACTTTTCAGTTAGATTGTTCCCTGGTTAGCTTATTAACTTCCCAAGGGCAAGAAGTCTTTGATAGTCATTCATTCATTCATGTAGTAAGTATATTTTAAAGCAACTACTAGGTGAAAGATATGTGATAGGAAAAAAAAGGAGGTAAGACATGATATTTACTCAGTATGGAGAAGGAGGTAAGATGCAAATAGCCAAGAAAAGTAAGAAGGCAAGCACAGCAATTAAGGTTGTGTTCTGGGTGGGAGAACTGAGGCAGGCTTGGTGTGAGGGGCTTTGGAGTTGGGTCGTGGGGAACATTTCAGACTATGAGAATGGGAAGGAGGGAGAAATGCATGAATGCAGGTATGGAATGTTCCCATGCCTAAGTTTGGAGAGCACCCAACAAACAGTAATTCTGTTCCCCAGTTGAGTTTGGAAAAAAAAAAGCTTAGTGAGACAAAGGAGTGGCAGATGGCACCTACCATATTGCCTTTATAATTGATCAAGGCTAAGCTGGAGGAGTCGACTTCAGGTGAAAGAAAAAGTGAGAGTGAACAGCTCTGCAACAGGCAACTTGATCCAGAACAGGCCTCCAGGTTTTGTGGACCATGACTCAGTGTCTGAGAAGTTCTAGAAGGCTGTCTTTTTCAATTTGAAAACTCAAGATTGTTGGATAAAAACAAATAGTGAGTGGCACTTACAAGTGACTGTATTATTTAAAAATAGTTTGTGTTGGACAATCTTTTCCCACAAAACATCAAATTGTAAGGTGACAAGATATAATAACCTAAAGTGACTTGGAATTACGTTCCATGAAACTTCATTGAGGGTCTCTGTATGACAGAGGTTATACAAGAATATCACGTCTCGAATTGCAACAACCCTAGCCTGTTTTAATTCTGAAGGTTCTACATTTTAATTTTACAAAGCTCTACAATTCTGCACTTAAGCACGTAATCATGGTGGACAGACAACTGGTTTACCTGAAGCTATCTGACTGGCCAAAGTCTGCAGTATCTGCCATCTGGAGCCCACTTAGAAAGTCGAGTTTAGGCATGGGTGCATATGGTCTGGGCCATCAAAGGGACCAGCAGAGCCTGATGGCTAGGAGTGGTGAAAATCGGCCACACTGAACATTTGGGAGCACTCTTAAGGAAGTGACACGTTGGGGAGAAAAGGAGGGGTAGCAAGAATAAGGGAGAAGTGATGGGGGGCTTGGAGCTAAAGGTCCCTAAGGATAGGTAGTTCAGGATGAGCCTGAGTTTCCCAACCCAGATTGCTCACAGTATTCCTGTAGACAGCCCTTGCAAATTCAGCACTCCATTGTATGCTGCCTCACTGGAAACAACTTTCCAGTTGTCACTGACTTCGGGTCCCAGCTAGATGTGCCATACAGCATGAGGCATGGATTCCTAACTCTATAACTCTCACCATACACAAGGACTCTAAGAAGAGTGCAGATATTAATGAAAATGGGTGTCAACTGCTCACAGCCTACTGGGCATTGATCACTTTCCCCAGTCCTCACCACAATCCTGCAAGGTCAGCATTAACATGCTGACCACTGTCCAGTCAGGGAAACAAAGGCTCAGAGAGGAAGGTGGAGCTGGCTGAACAGGCACAGAAAGTGCACTACCTGCCTTCACAGATGGGCTTCTCCTGCAGTTTTTAGGAGACTGGGAGTTCTTTCTTAGGCTACCTGGCAGCTTAAGTGTGGGTGCTACATGGGTCGCTTCTCCAAATGTGTGTATATGAGTGTGTGTGTAGGGCGTGGTGGAAGTTAGTCCCTGAGTCATGGGAATATGTGGATTGGAGCTTTAGTTAAGGCTTGTATTTTGTGCATAATTGTAAGTATGTGTGTGTCGTGGTTGTGGCAGGAGCTTGTGAGTGCAAATATTTGGAGGTGCTAGGCATGAGGGGTGTCAATTCGTGAGCCATATATTCATGATGTGTGTGTGTGTGTGTGTGTGTGTGCGTGTGCCAAGGCGGGTGGAGTGTTGGATCGCGAGTGTGCACGAGTGTGAGCGTGTACAAGAGGCGAGTGGGGGAGGGGCCAGCTCCCCCTCTGCCCCCTCCTGCGCGGTGAGTGCGCGCGGCCGGCCCCGCCCTCCGCTGCAGGTGGGCCGGGCCCGCGGCGGGGCCCGCAGCGCTCGCAGCTCTTGGCTCGCGGCCGCGCCGGGCTCGCAGGGCTGGGCTGGGGCTGCGGGGCGGCGCCGGGACAGGAAGCGGAAAGCAGCAGTGCAGCAGCAGCGGCAGCGGCGGCGGGGCTCTGCAGCTACAGGAGCCCAGCGCAGGCCGCGCAGCCGGGGCCGCTGTGCGCCGTGACCGTGGGCTGCGGAGCCCGGCCGGCCGGCGGGGAGGTGAGTCCCGCGAGAGGCCGTGCGCGCGCGGCGGTGGCCCGGGCAGACTCCCGCTGGGAACGCCGATCCTGGCTCTGCGCGCCCCTCCGTGCCCCGCGCCCACTCCCACCGCGGCACCCAGGTTCGCGGCCTCTCGCCTCCGGTCGGGAGTCCCCTGGGCTCCTGGGGACCGCACCCGATCGGGTTTCCTGGGACCCCGCTCCTCTCAACCCGGCGCGGGGCGTCCTCTGCGCTCTCCGCCGCACCCCACTCTTCGGTCGGGTTTCCCTGCGCATACGTCGAACGCACCATTCTCCTGTGGCTGGCCTTTGGGGTGCGCCCCTGGGGTGCCCCCGGCCGGCCACCAGGGAGTGGCCGAGGTTGATGGTGGCACCCGGTGGCGGTGCCGGCCGTGCGGGGCGGGGGCCGCCGCCCTGCGCTCCCCGGGAGCTGGGCGCAACCCCGTTTTCCACCCCGCCTCGGGTCCCGACCCAGGTCCTCGCCAGGGTCCGGGGGCCACCTGGCCGATCGCCAGGCCCCAGGACAGAGCTGGCCTGTCTTTCAAACCTCGCTGGCCTAATCTAGCTGGATCTGGAGGCCTGCGGGGCGCGTCCGGTGGCGCATCCGAGAGCGCAACAGGCAGGTAGGAGTTTACTTTCAAAAAGGCCGGGGTGGAGCAGAGGCGCGCGGCCAGGCTCTGTCCGAAGTGGCCCTGCCCCTGGGAAATCTAGCCGCGCCAGGGCAGCCGTCGCCACCCGCAAGACCTCATTTCCTCCTGCAGTCTTTGAACTGCCCCCAAGCAAGGCGCCCAGAGAAGTGTGAAGCTTTATAAAAATTTAAACGCGTCGGTGGTGGAGGCAGGAGTGGGGCGGAGCCGCGGCCTCGCAAGGCTGGGTGATGAGCGGGTGAGACTTGAGCCCAGGAATCTGTGACTCGGCTTTCACTTCTCCAAACCAGGCCGCCAAGGTGAGTTCCTGGCGATGCTCCTGGGGAGGTGTAAGAACGATTGTGTGGCTATCACGCGCACTTTGTGAAACCCTTTTTTTTTGGGGTGGTAGTGGTGGTGGTGGCTATGATCAGAAATGCGTGTATTCTTAGACACTTATTCCAAAAGCCAGCAAGCTGTAAAGAATGTGGCGTTTTCACTGGCATGCTTATAAGTTTTACAGGGTTGCTGAAAATATTATAGCTTGTGTCACTAATCAACAACACTAATTAGCACTCTTTCTCCCGTGGGTGTGTTGTTTGGGTACCCAGCTCTTAGCTCCTTCAGGGAGATGGCAGAAACTATCTGAATCCAGGGAGACATAATTAACCATTTTATGTAACCACTAATTAGAGTTTTTAGAGTTGAATTAAATCAATGAGATGTCGTTGGCATTTTGATTTGTGGGAGGAAACTGTTTTATTCTACAGTTCAAAGAAATAACATACTTCACCTATCCGTTTGGCATTTCCAAACATGGGTGATTCTCAATATGACTAGAGAAAACACCCGGTGTGAAAATTTCACTGTTAGCTTATTTGCAACATGACTTGGTTGCAACTTAATTTGTAGGTAAATTGAGAGAAGAGTTTTGGCAGAGGCAGATTCGTAAGGACTGTGTGCCAGGCAGTAAGTTTTTATTGTCTTAAATATTGGGCAATGGGACCATAAAGGAAATTTTAAGTTTCTTCCTAAGCAACAATTCTGGGTCACCTTCTGTTGAAGAATTAGTAAGCGTTGAGTGAGGAAAACTGTGTTCTCTCTCTCTCTCTCAGAGGCACTGGGGTTGGAACTCAGGGCCTCAAGCTTGCTAGGCAGTTGCTCTTCTCACTTGAGGTGCCTAGGTTCTAATGAATCCCTGGTACTATGTTTCAGTAAAATTAACAAACCCTTGGGTATGATGATTATTGCATTGTGGACTGAGGACACAGAATCTGTGGCTAGTGCTTGGTAATTGTTCAGTTTAATTCAGCATGTATGTAATGAGCACTGGTTCCTTGCAGGTTTGCCATTCTTGGAATTGTAGGGATAAAACAATAACCAACAAAATGCCAGTTGGTAGTAAGTGTTTTAGAATTACAGGAGAAGTGTTGGAGAAGTGTTAGTTTGGTCAGGGAAATGTCTTTCTGATGAGGGGAAGGTTACAAAGGGAACTGAAGACCCATGGGAGGGAGCTATGCAGCCATACTTGGCTGAAAACAGGAACCATGCCCCTGTGGCTGGGGCAGCCCGGATCTGAGAGGCACCTGGCACTGGCTCTTAGAGGACTTGATAGATCTTGGTGAGCCTGGATTTCATTCTGAAGGGACAGAGAAGCCATGAGAAGGTTTGAAGCAGGGAAGTGACACAACTTCAAAGGGAACTGAGCATACACAATGGGTACCAAGAGTAGACACTAGGTCATTTAGGCAGCTCTTGCGGTAATCTAGGTGAGAGGTGGTGATGGCCTGGGCTGTGATGACGGTGTAGGACAGGTGGGTACCATACACAGCATGGATACACTGAACAAAAGGATGGGACAGGGTGGAGTGGGAAGACCCTGTAAGTGGGGTATGTTGGAGGAGTGAGGTCAGCAGGGTTTTTGTGATGAACTGTGATGTGGAGTGAGGCAGAGGGAGGAGAATCAGTGAGACTCCAAAGTGTTGGCATGAGCTTGATGGAGGGGCGATGCATGGAGGTGGAGAACATTGCAAGAAGAGGGGGTTTGAAGGGCAGGATCAAGAGTTCAGGTTTGGGTGTGTTAATCTGACCTGGCAGTGTACTGAGATCCCTAACGTGGAAATGTGAGTGGAGGTTTGTGGAGGCAGTTGGCATAAAAACCTGGAGTTAAGGGAGAGGTCAAGTTGGGGAAATACCTAGATTGTAAAATCTAGTTTTCTGGTATCTAACACAGGACCCCCCCAGACATGTTAACCATTCACAGCTCTTCAGAAATCTATATCCAGAATTTCTCAAGTGTGAGTTACCCAAGCCAGGAGCAGTTATTCATGATCTTTGTGGCTGACTGAGCCCAGAGGCTCAGAATCTTTCATTTAGAAGAGGTCTGTTGTTGCAAAAAGAAGCGTTGAGTTTGTCACACATGCCACAAGCCCTGCAGACCTTCACTTTAGTGACCTGAGTGATGTTTTATGCTTTGTAGGCCACAAGTTTAGCCATATGCTCTATGGCCTTGCCAAACTTCTCTGACCCTTCCTACAATCCCCTGGCTCTCCAATAAACCCACACTGTGTTCTCTAATCTCTCTGAGAAATGCTCAACCTGAAGGATGGTAAATGGAAGCCTGCAAGGAACAGAATAGAAATTATTAAATTACGTACTAATGTTAAAAGCAAACTATACAGACCACAATGGTATACGTAAGCCCAATGGGATTGATATGTAGGTCACGTGCCCTGCAAAGGTACTGTACCTGATTGAAGGAATCTGACTGTGCTAAACAGTAATAGTGGTTGATGGCTGTGAGTGCTTACCACGTACTAGGCCATGTTTCCAACAATTTTTATTATTTAATAGCCACTACAAGTCTAAGGTTAGTATCACAGTTTGGATCTGGAATGTCCCCTACAGGTCCATGTGTTAAAGGCATGGTCCCCAGCCCATGGCATTTTGGGAAGTGGTGGAACCTTTAGGAAGTGGGGCCTGGTGGGGGGAAGGTAGGTCATTGGGGGCATAAAGAGACATTGGGATCTTTACATTTTTCTCTTCCTCTATCTAGCTGCTATGAATGAACAGGCCTCTGCTGGGTGCTCCCGCCATGATGTGTTTTGCTTCCACAGACCCAAAATAATAGGGACAAGTAACCATGGACCGAAAGGTTTATTTCAGTTAAACCTTTCTTCCTTGTAAGTCAGTTATCTCAGGTACTTTGTTAGAGTGACAGAAAGCTGAGTAACAGTAAGTAAAACATAGTTCTGTTATTAGAGTAGGGAAACTGAAGCACAGAGAAGTTAAAACTTGCTCGGAGGTCACACAACTGATAAATACTTGAGCCAGAATTTGAATGGTGATGGTCTAAACTCCTGGACCTGGGTTTATATGTTCTTCCTCCCCAAAAGAAAAGTTAACTTTAAACAAAATTATTTAAAGTGTCATTTTCCCTTTGAGTGCTATGTAATTAAAAGAGGGTACTTGGAGAAAAATGTTAGCTGTAAGATATCATATAAATAATAATAATTAATGGAGCAAACCCTTTAGAATTCTACATATAGTAAAAATCACCTTCAGAGGAATATGCGCAGTATATACAAACACAGCTGCACCAGAAACTTCTTTGCTTTGGCCAAGGGAGCAGGAGGGCTCCTTATGTTCAGTGTGTGGTAACTTTCTACCTTCCCAACCAGAGCCCTTTAATGACTTAATAGCTGTAGGCTGAGCTGTTGATGTTTTTATAACTTCCTTTTCATGAAGGGTAGCTATATTTACCACTGTCATTACCATAACCTATTATTTCCCTCAAGATTTTCTGAGCACTGTTTTTCTTTTAAGTAGGAGTCAGGTGTATTTTATATGAGAGAACATGACTATGGAGGAAGATGATATTTGAGGCCACTGATCTTTACTTTGCTTTTGATAAAGGGCGGTAAAGAGGTTCTTCCTGGGGATTCCAGAATTAGACAAAGGTGGCCTATGCACCTGCCTCAGCAGCGTCTCCCCTGCTATCAGTGCGACATGGTTTGATGAACTCGTGCCCTAGCCTGGTGTTACTTGAGCTTCAGCTCAAGCAGGATGCTAAAAGAGATTGCAACAGAAGCTCTGCCACTGAGTGAGCTGTGGTGTGAGCCAGCAGTGTGGCTCCACTCTGGATGCTTCTGACATCACTGTCGTATCTACTCTGTGCAAGGTTTCTTCCATAGTAAGTGCATGTCTCTGTGTCCCCAGGTCTGCCACAAACCCCTTTGTTCAGGGCTGGAAATGTGGCTGAAGTGGTAGAGAGCCTGCCTAGTAAGCCTGAGGCTCTGAGTTCAAACCCCAGTGCTGCAAAACAAACAAACAAACCTTCATTCAGCAAACATTTATTGGATGCCCATAGTGTTCTCTGAGCGAGAGAGACCGTAATGAAAATGGTCCCTGCCCCATGGAGCTCAGAATCTATAGAGGAGCCTAACGTTAAATAATCACACAAGTAAACTATAACTGGAAATTACAAGGAGTACCAGGTGCTAGGAAGGGCCTGATTTAGACTGGAGTAGTAGAAAGGTCTCTCCAGAGAAGCAGGAGAGAAACTGGGCAAAACGGAGCATGTTAAAAAGTGAGTACCAGCAGGTAAACCAGGTTCTCCCAAGACCTTGAGGCTACAAAGAGCCTGATGCCTCAGAGGGACCAGTCTGGTGTGCAGGATATAGAAGATCACATGAAAGATTTTGTATTTTATTTGAAGTTCCCAGGAATACCAGGAAGAGTTTTAATCATGGAAGTGATGTCTTATTGTAATTTAAAAGGTCATTCTGGCTGCTGACTGGCTCAGAATGTCATCCTGTGCTGACTGGCACAGGATGGTTTGTGACAGGGGTTGATATAATAGATAGTTGCAAATTCTGGGGTCTGTATTTACACCACTACCTAATTCCATCCCATCTGTGCTGGTGTGGAAGCCCATCCCCATCAATTGGCTACCCAGGGAAGCTGATTTCTTTCCATTTGTCTATTATCTTTCCTGATAAGGGATCCCTTCTGATTGTCATACAGGGGGAACTGTCTTGTAAATCCATCCTTACAGTGATAAGCATAGGATATGCTTGTCTACTAACTAGAATCTCTTACCTGGTCTCAAGCCCACTTTTAAAATGAGTTCACTCTGGAATTTATTAGTTTGCTTCCTTTTGCTTCTCCTAAATCCTCATCCAGATATTAGATGGAACAAGAGTTGCTCACCATAGTAAAAACAGAGTGACTTAGAAGAAGGGTTGGGCTGTACAGACTGGATCCAGTGAGGAACCCAGAGAGTTTGCTGTAGGTTAGTCCTTGAGTCAGTAAAATGAGGGAAGGTAGAGCTTAGTGATGTTGGAGTGTAGGATGCAGAGAGTCCTGAAATGGCACAGGGTTGGCTCCGTAGGATTGATAGGATGATGGCATCACTGTGGTGGAGGACGTTGGAAAAAACTAGGCCAGGACATAAGAGCAGCTGGGGAGGAGGGGTGGCAGCGAAGAGAGTGTGATAATCCCAAGTGGAGCAAGAGTTGTCAGAGCAGGAAAGCTGCCTTTGGCTTTCTTCTTCAGTAAGCCTTTGGTGATCAGTATGTTCTTAGATTCTTGGGGAGGGATAGGGACCCCATAACTCCTGTCTTCTGATGAGTGGAGGGGAGGAATGTTGCAAGAAAAGTACTCGCCTGAGAGCTGTCAAACTGAACCAGCAGTAGATCCCGGGAGTACAGGGCTCTTGCCCCTAGCATTAGGTACAGAGGCGAACAAATCCATCAGTGGGGTAAACACAGCTGAAGAAGGGGCCAAAGATGGGACTTTGGGTTTGGCTCACAGCAGTCTCTGGCCATTTAGAGTTGTTTCAATGGAGAGTTAAGGGGGAGAACAATAACAGGTGGTGACAATGGAGAGAGAGAAGCCACCAAATGTACAGATCTCCCTGTGGTAAGTATGGTACGAGTTGTGGGAGAGAAACCGGGCAAAGGTGGTTGGTAAAATTGGGAAAAGCCTTTCCCCAAGGGCATTGGGGGTCCGGATTTCCTTTGAGGGGCATGCCTAGAATTGTCCTAGTGGCTGGTCTAGGTTTTAATGAGGACAAAGAATGACGACCCTCGACAGAGACGGAAGGGAGTGAAAACTTCAGTTTCTTTCATCCTTACAATGACCCTAGGAAGAGGACAGTAAGTGACTTCATTTTACTGGGGGGTCTGGTGTGAGGTAGGGACTATAAGGACAGGATTGGCCCTGATGTGCAGGACCCGAGCTACCTGCCGCTGAGACAGACGCCCATCAGCATTTAGCAAGAAATAGCTGGAAACTGTAGTGGGACAGGGAATCAAGAGCTAAGGGTTAGAAGGCAGACACGGTGTTGGAGATGTGAAGGGTTAATTTTGAGTGTAGAAAAGGGCGGTCAGTTTTCTGGGGAAAGGCGCCAAACGTTGGAAGCTGCAGGTCAACAGAGAGCCGGGTGGGGGGTGGAGGGTGGTCAGGGAGAGTCTTAGTTCATGCAGAGCTGCCTAAGGTTGGTTGTCTGCCAGGTATAAAGCCAATGAGGAAACAGCAAAGGCAAGAGCAAAAGGAAGTGAGACTGGAAGGTGCTGAAAGCGCGTGGAGATTGCTGGTGAAAAAGGTGGGGGTAGAGTTGGGAGAGAAAAGATGAGCCAGCTCTTAAAGTCCTCCAGGAAAGTGGGGCTCAGTCCAGGAGCCTAACTAACACTTTTCCAGTGCCTGCTGTATTTCACATTTAATCTTTGCAGTTGCCCCCAAATAGGCTGCCTTGCCTCCTTTTTACGGAAGTAAAAAAACCTGTGGCTTCAAGGTCAAGTACATGAGCAGGCAGACTGAGGTGAGCCCATTTCTGCTTGCTGTAGTGAGTCCACAGGTGGGCCTTGGGCGGGGTGGGGAAGGCCATAGGTGCTGGCTCCCTACCCTGCTGCTTTCCAAGCCTTTCTCACTGTGAAAGACAAAAAGAACATGGAGTTTGGAACCACCCAGGAGATGCCGGTGGCCACTTGCTGGACACATTGTCAACCGTTAGCTCATTTGTCATTGCAACAGTCCTCATATTCATATTTTACAGATGCTGCAGGATTGAGGTCCCATAGCTAGGAAGTGAGTAAAGTCCAGAATTAGAACCCAGCTCCAGATGCTGTATCTGCTTAATATCTTTACGTTATCTCTAAGAAGCTAGCAGCTAGCTAGTTGATTCCCATTAACATATAAGCAAACTGAGGCTCAGGATGGCAAGTGGCTAATCCCATCTAGTGACTGTAGTAGATGGAAGCTAAGTTTGGGCAGGAGCTAGGCATCTCCTCAGCTAGCCTTGGGCTTGGAGGAAGGAGGCTGACCCTGGTGTAGCAGACCTTGGAAGTGAAAGCATATCACTTCCAGGCAGAATGAACAGTCAGGGCAAGTGCACCCCATCAGTATTGAAGCTCTGTGGGCTGTGTTGGGGTGTGGTGGTGCCATATGCAGGCCCAGTTAGTACTCAGCTTGCCTGATCACCCCTAGACTTGGCTGCTACTGGGGTCAAGGACCTGACCTCTCAGCAGGGCAGGGGTACGCACTGACATTTGCAGCTACCTTGTTATGTCTTCACACTATCTCACCGCTCTGTTTGCAGTTTCAGCTTCCAGGGGCGCTGGGAGGAGGAACGCTGTTGGGTGGAGACCAGCTCTGGGTGAGGGGTGCAGGGAGAGAATTGAAGATCTGTTTTCTGGTAGTAAATGTTTAACATGGGGGTTGGGGGGAGCTCAGGAATGTACTTGGAAATGTTTCCAATGTATTATTATTGCAAAGCAGTGTCTGAGGGAAGTGTGGGAAAGACCAGGGGCCTGCAATCGATAGTAAGTCACCTGCTCTTATCTTCCAATGTCCCCTTTCACTCCGGCTCTCATAGAAGCTGTTGTACATGAGTGTTAACTGTAGTGGAGACCCCAGTGTGGGTCTGTCATCCCGTATTCTGCTTTCGCCCTCCATCATGCCATCACAAAAACACCATCTTTTAGCATTAACATTTTATACAGACAAAGGATGAGCCATGTGTTCCTTACCTAGTCCTTGGTTTGGGGGGGAGGTGGCATTTACATTTTTTCTAGTTTTTATTATTATAGACAGTGAGGCAATAATGTTTGTCCTTAAAGAAATAGTTCTCTAAGATACATTCTTAGGAGTCTGGATTCTTGGGTTAAAGAGACTGAGAATTTTTAAAATAAATCCCTTAAAAGCTGCTTCCCCGGGTATTGGCACAGCCAGCAAACTGGCAGCCACAGGGGCTAGGCACTTTTGTCGGGTTAGGATATGGGAAGCCAATTCTTACAGCTAAAGCCAGTGAGGGTGAGGCTGTGCTCAGGAAATGGACCCCAGGGCCCAGGTCTTTCCCCTGCCCACCTTCCTGCTTCTTTGTGGTGGGATTCTGTTTGCTGAGCCCCATCTTATCTCCCAGACCTCTGGGAAGCTTGGTCCTGCAGCAGTGGAACAGTCAGAGGTCAAGGCTTCACCCTGTTCTCTTGTTCCAAGTTGAGACCCCAGAGGGGAGGCAGCTGCTGTCAGTTACACATCAGCCCTCCTTAACTTTGGCCTTGAAGATTGATCTCTGTCTTCTCCCCCTGTTCCCAGAGTGTGATCCTGTTGAAGAGTAGCTGCTGCTCTGATTCTCAGACTCCTCAAGGCCTTAGGAGCTAGCAGGCTTCACACTACCTCAAAGAAGAAACAGTGCCTGCGCCTTCATCAAGAGGACGCTCTCCATTGCTATGGACACCGAGTCCACGTATTCTGGATATTCCTACTACTCACACCATTCAAAAAAATCTCACAGACAAGGGTACGTATGTTGCAGAGGGAGACCTGCAGGCTAGAGGGGCTTCTAGACCCAGTTTTCAAACAGCTGGCTTGCGGGGCTTTTGACACAGGCTCAGTCCACTGGTGTGTGAGAATCAGACCTGTTGACATGCGTTGGAAGCAACTCCACTAGCAATTTACATTTTACAGGCACCATTAGAGTTGATGACCCTAATTCCTCACAATTGCCTTTAAATGAAAGTTTCCCCTGTAAGTGGAAATGGTTTCATTTCTAGGTACTTCTCATAGCTGTCAGTTCTCCCAAAGCCTTACCAACACTCTAAATGAAAGTTAAAAAGCAAGTGTTAATTTGTTGCTTTTCACCCAAAGCTGCTGACTCAGTCATTGTTTATTATGCATTGGCCCTGAGGCTTGTGCACAAGCCAGTGTGATGGGCCTGACTCCTGATTTCTCTGTGACTACGCTTCCAAGTGAACAAGCGTGGGTTTTGGAAATGCTGTCCTGGGTGATGGGGCCAAATTCCCCCTCCATTGCAGGCCAAGCAGGTCTGCACTGGCATTGGTAGTGCTGTTTGCTGAGCAGAGAAATGAATGAGTGAATGAATGAGTGAGTGGATGAGTGAGTGAATGAATGAATGAATGAATGAAGAGCTAAATGATTCAATAGGTGGTACTGCACTGAGCAGGTAAATTGCAGTGTGGCCACTTAGCCTGTTCTCCTTATCTGTGAAGTGGACACAGGGATCCCCTCCCTCACGAGGTTGTTGAGAGGGCTGAATGAGGTTATGCTTGCCAGCACACAGTCACTAGCCAGTGGCTGTGTTAATGCAATCAGTGGTCTTAGCATTTCAGCACCTTGTTCAAAGGGTGCTGACTCCAGCCTCAAGGCCCACCAGTGGCCACAGGTGTGCTAGCATGGTAACTAACAGTGACTGTCTTGGAGTTTGTGTCCCTCTGTAAGCAGCTGCATACAGAGCAAGTGTTGTTTTGTAAAACTGTAATAAGTGTGCGTATCTAGTTCACTTACTTAGGAGCCTGTGTGAGTACACACACACAGAAAGAGGTCTGGAATCACACTCTGGAGGTGGCCGGGGGTGGTCATCCCCAGGGAATTGAGCCCAGCAGCACTGACAGAGGGGAATCCCCATCTATACTTTATCTTTCTCTACTTGTTCCGTTTTTTACAAGTGTGTATTTTGTAATTTTTTTTAAAAGCGCAATGGAATAAGAATATACAGGATAGGTTTTCAAAGATTATTTGATGATATGAGAAAACATTCCTGAGACTGCATTATTAAAAAATGGGACTTAAAACACTGTACATTATAAGTTACATAAACACACAATAAGATGGATATTGCCTGTCTCTGAGAATAAGGTTAAGGGTGGTACTTTTTTATTTCCTTTTTTTCTTTCTTGTTGGTACTGGGGTTTGAACTCAGGACTTCAAGCTTGCTAGACTGGCACTCTACCACTTAAGCCACTCCGCCAGCTCAAGGGGTGGTGGTTTTTTAAAGCTTTCATTTTTTTCTAAATTTCCACGTATTTCTCTTAACATTCATAAAAAATATGGCTCCTTGCTGGCAGAGTGTCTCAAGTGGTAGAGCACCTGCCTAACAAGCATGAGGCCCTGAGTTCAAGCCCCAGTATCACCAAAAAAAAAAAGCCGGGTGCTGGTGGGTGGCTCATGCCTATAACCCTAGCTACTCAGGAGGCAGAGATCAGAAGGATCACAGTTTGAAGCCAGCCTGGACAAAATAGTTCATGAGACCCTATCTTGAAAAAACCCGTCACTAAAAAGGGCTGGTGGAATGGCTTAAGGTGTAGGCCCTGAGTTCAAACCCCAGTAGCATAAAAAATATATTTATATATGTATGTATGGCTCCTTGTGCTGGTGCCCAGGTCGGCCTCTCCAGGCAGGTTGAGCGGTACCAGGTGCTCTGAGCAGGAGATGCTGGGGTGGGTGGGGAGCCTGTGGTGACATGTCAGAGCCTGGATCCTGAGAAAGTCAGAAGCCACAGGCTTTAAAAATAAGCACAGATTTCAACCAGTAAGTGAACTTACCAGATGTGTTATAAAATACCAGAAACAGCTATTTTCAAATATCACCTCTTTGAACCTAACTGGAGAAAGCAATTCACTTGTCATTGCACCAGGCTCCCTCCTCCATGCCACAATGGTGGAAGGAGGAATTTGGGGTGCTGTTGGAGCTTGGGGTTGAGTAGCGGATGATGACTTGCAGGATCCTAAGTAGGAGCCAATTCTGGCCTCCTCTGCGTTCAGGGTCCATTGCTGCTTGCTGCTGCTTCCTCAGGCCTCTGGAGGCCCCAGAAATTGATACTCCAGTGCTGTTGTAGGAGCTTTAAGTGAGTATAACTTTCAATTAAAACAACACACAGAACTCTTAGTGCTTTCTTGGGCCCATGTGGGAAGTTCTTGGCAAATGTGAATACAAGCTGAGGTTTTAATCCAAGACTGTGCCTACTCAGAAGCAGTGAGGGGAATAAGCATTAGGGTTCATAGGTGACTTCATGGGTGAGTGAACTGTGTGACAGGAGGAAGGCCAGGTAAGGGACAGAACTGTGGGACGGAGGTTATATCTGCAAGATAGGAGTGCCAGGAAGATCTGTGCCATGGTACAAATATTGTTAAGCACTAATAGACCCCTCCACAGGCATGGGTGCAGGCCCTGGGCAGAGCCAAGGCCATCTATTGAGTCCCAAGAGTGGCCTCATGAAGGCTGCTGTGCTCAGCTATCTGTCAGGAGTCTAAATGGAAGAGTAAGGAAGGAAAGGGACCTTGCTTTGTGGTAATTTTAGTACAGCTGCAACTCAGGAATAATGAAACACACAAATGCGACATGCCTGGTGACACCGGGATCATCTTCGAGGCCCGGCCAGCTTCTAAGCAGATGACAAGTGACTCTTTCTTGACAAAGAGGTCGATGACCTGGTTTTGTAATGCCCTCAGTCTCCAGAGAGTGTCCTGCTGATTCATGGGAAAGTGGTACAGACTTTAGTCAACCTCATCCAACCTGTGTGTTCAGAAGCACAGGTTTTCTGTTTTAAATACAGCAGCAGCTGTAATGTGTATGGACCACTCTGGAGTGCTTGTCTAGCCGCTCGTAGTTGTCATCATCTCCCATCCTCACACCTGTCCTGGAACAATGGGAGGTGGTAGCCCTATTTACACACGATGAAACTGGGGCAAGGGACCAAGGTTGTTGGCTGATGTCATAAGGTTAGTAGGTGTCCCTGGCAGGTTTCAGTCTTGTTGGTTCTTTGGAAGAGAAATATCACTTTTGAAAGGGACATAGGGGTAATTCATGTGAGTATGTACTAACATACAGTGTCCTAAAGAACTGCCTGGGCAGCAAACAATTCCCACATCCGCCTTCCCATCCATCAGGGCAGAAAGGAAGCAGCTACCCAGGCCTAGCTGTCAGCAGAAAGGACAGGTAGTGGGTGGCAGTAGAAAAGGAAAGGGAGGAGTAACCGGTGGGGGCCGGCTTTCCCCAAATAGAAATAGATAAGCACCAGACAGAGGACTAAATATTCTTCCCAGGAAATACTGACTGTAAGCGGGAACAGTATGGGAATTTCAGGGATGCTGGCTGGAGTGACGGCACTGTAGCAGCCCCCAGGGGCTCAGCTCCAGAACTGCCCAAATAGATGCATTCCCAGGCACACATAGGTGAGGTATGGCAGATGCCTTCCGCTACTGCTGACTTTTCCCATACTTCTGCACATGAGCACACGTGCTCAGATAGACTTATCTCTACTCATAGGGCAGATGATAGGTGGGGACAGTTTCAGAGTTAAAGATAACAAAGACTACCTTGGGTGACATGGCACCCAGCCCAACACACAGGTGATCCTACCACTTAGGCAGAGGTGGAAAAACACACAGTGGGCTTGTGTTTGTAACACCCCACTCACTGGTTCAGTACACTGTTACTGCCCTTAGCTCCTCTTCTGTACACATAGACACATGGACTGATGATTGTCACCATTGGGGAACCTGCTCCCCGAGGACAGTGGCAGCCATAGGTGTACCCTTTGGAGCATCTAGAGCTACAGGGGTAAGCGTTTGGGTGCACACTGCAGTGAGTGGCCACACTGTCTTACAGTCACTGGGTGGGTGGCAGTATTTTTGTGGGACGCCACTCTTAAGACCTGCCTGGAGCTGTAAAGGAAGAGCAGTGGTTTCCATCAAGCAGTGTGGCAGGTCTTGCTTCAGCCACAAGACTTGGATGAGAAGCAGCTCACCTGGTGCAGCTCTGGTGCCAGGTGATAAGACCTGCTCTTCCAGTCATGTGTGGAAGGCGCTCGGCTCTGGGCAGTCATGATGACATGCTGTCCCTCATCCCTGTGCATGGGGGCACTGTGCAGCTGGCAGACCCTTATGGCTACCATTCCAGAGCCCCTGCATTTCACAAACAGGCAGACTTCCAAGCAGTCTTTCCAATCTCCTTTCCCAGGAGCAAGTTTATGGGAGAGTCTCATTTCCTAGATCACCTGGGGTGCTAGTGGGGAGTGTCGCGATTCCTGTTGTCTGTCTTCCAGACAAATGCTTTGAGGCTGGAACCAGCCAGTCTGCATGCAAATCTGCACCCTTGGTGATTTGTCTACTCACTGGCCCTTGAGAAGCACTGGTTTAGGATTTAAGGCTCTGGAGGATAAGCAACCTTCTTTAGGTTATCAGATAAAAAGGTTCTTATCTGCTGCACCTCAGGTGCTGCCAGAGGAGTTGTAAGACAGTTTTTGACCATCTTGGTGCTCAAGGGCCCTTTAAGAGCCAGGCTGGTGGGCTGGGGGTGGGGAGCTGCGGCTAGGCCTGGGTGGTTCCCGCCTGTTTTCTGCCCTGGCAGTGGTCAGGAATTGGCACTCTGTGAAAGATTTTGATTTCCAGTAGAATTCGACCTGTGGGACTTGTGCATAGAGAGATGGGTTAGGTAAGCATGTGACCTGGCTGATGGCCAAGAGTGATATGTGTGAGAACAGGAGGGGAAAATGGAACATGGAAGCTGAATAGGAGACGGGATGTCGTGGAATGCAGTGATGCCTGGTGGTTCTGGACCTCATCTAACACTCTGAACACTGACCAGGCAGGTGAGAAATCTCTCCATGTTTCTTCTTGTTCCCCATTGGGTGTGCCTTTTGAAATGATTGTATTGGACACCCGGAGTGTCAGAGCACATGGCTCTATGCTAAGGTCACAGCTCAGTCATGACTCCAGGAGTATCTTCAAAGGCTTATGTATAGCTCCAGTAGTTTGACAAGTGTAAGTTGTGAAGATGAGTATTAGGAATATTGATCTGTATAATCTCCTGATTGTCCTTCAGAATGGTGTAGCATGGTGGCTTTGAGTAGAGGTCACTTTGGAAACAGACTTGGATTCAAGCCTACTTTGTACTCACTACAACTTTGGGAAGTTACTTAACTCTGTGGGCCTCCGTTTCCTCCTCTGTAAAATGGGGACAGTAATACTGGCTGCATGGGGCCATTGTTAGGATTGAATGAGACTAGTCGAGTAGAGCACTTAGGAAAGTGCTCTCTAAACTGGGATGGGGCAGGAGTGATTGACGTTGATAGATGCTTCTCTGGGTGAGCTCAAACACTGGAGTTGTCTGGACACTTCTGTTTCTAGGCATGCTGGAAGGCTTGAGTTGTCACAGAACGATACTCAGCCATGGGAGCCCCTAGTTCTTTGAGGGGATTACCCAGCTCCCCTTCAAAGGAATTACCCAGCTTCTCCTCGGGAAGTGGTTTTTGTTTTGGGTTTTTTGTCATTGTTGCTAAGTTGTAGGTTCATAGAAGATATGTGTGTGGAGAGAAGGGGGTTCCGTGGTGTGTTGACGGCTCTGTTTACTCCTCTTTCTCCAAGGTAACACAAAATCAGAACACCATTCTCTGCCATCGGCCAGCAGTATTAGTAATGCTAGCGGCTAAAGTGTATTTAAGTGCTCACTCCCCATCCTGCACTGAGCTCGTGTGCCTTAGCTATGTGGTATCATCATTGTCCCCATTTCCTGCATAAGGAACCTGAAGTTTTGGGGGTTGGGCAAGGTCACACAACCAGCAAGGGCAGGTGGAGATCTGACTAATTGTCTGCAAAACCTGCATATCCAATGGTGCTTCTTCTGCTGTCTTGACTGGGAAACCTTGGGAATAAGGGAAGGTGTTGTAGGAAGGTGATCTGAAGATAAGTGGCCTGTGAGGACAAAAACACCCGGGGAATTTACTGACTTTGGGTACTCTAGGGCTACTTCTCTGCGGGATCTCGAATCTGCCACCTGCCACTGGAGGCCAGTTCCCACAGGTGCTTATTCACCAGGTTGGGATCTGGGCTTGGTCACTGGGACTGATTTGCTTTGTAATCTCAAGTGCCCTCCCACTCACCCTGGAAGACCACCCAGAAAGTTCATCTGGGGTAAAAGTATGTAGCAGCCTGAAAACACACACACCCCTTCACACCCCTCAGTGTCATTTGTCCTAGCTTTCTTTGTCTCTGTGGGTGTCTGAGTTCAACAAGGGCCTATGGGAATGACTTTTCTTTTAGAACTTGTAAGAATGAAAAGTAAATGATTCTCTGTCCTGGTTTAGAATTTCCTTACTTCTCTTCTTGTCCAAAAGTGTAGGGTGACAGTGTGTCCCAGATTTTTTTTTTTTTTGGCCAAACCAAAGCATAGATATTACGCAGTGTTGCCCTGATTAAAAAAAATTCCTAGAAAATTAGTTTAGGTAAATAATAACCAAGTCAAGTGAGTGATTGTTATATTAAAATGTGCCTTAGCTACAGAAATCCTAAAATTATAATTTAAAGTTCTGAAAAAATCATGTGAACACTGTTGCTAAAAGAGGAGTGACAGTCTCTGGGTCTTGGAATGGCAGAAAGAAAATACTAAGTAGTATTTCAGTAAAGATCAGTTTACTCCTTGCAGGGGATGGGGTTGCTGTGTGTGTGTGTGTGTGTGTGTGTGTGTGTGTGTGTGTATGCATAGTAGTAGAATTTTCCTAAATTCTATGTTTATTTATTTATCTATTATCATGCATTTTTATTAGGATCTATTCACTATACAGGGGAGGATTTGTAGTGACAATTGCGACAAAATGATATTCATAGTACATTTCGATGAACCAGAGAGTTAATTAACATGGCATGAGTCTCATAGCTGATTACCTTTTTTTTTTCTTCAGAGAGAGAACTAGAGAGAGACACAAATCACCCAGGAATAAAGATGGCAGAGGGTCAGAAAAATCTGTCACCATTCAAGCTCCCACCGGAGAGCCCCTCTTGGCAAATGATTCTACTCAGACGGAGGAAGTCCAGGTGAGGATCAAAGGCAGTTTGTAAGCACACGGCCACTTGGCCAAGCCTCCTTTCTGTAAATGTTTTTCTAAGTCTTGTTGCAACAGGCTCTCTTGGGTTTTTATCTTTATTTTTCTAGCATGTTAATTAGTTTATCTATGTCCTGTGGTTTCTTGTTGGTCTAAGGACAGCCTGCCCGGCCATTGGCTAGCTTGGGGGTCCTTCTGAAGTGTGATTGGCTGGCCAGCTTTGAATGGTGTTGAAAAGAAGCCAGCATGGCTGACGACAGGGCAAGGAAGGGGAAAGTTACTGGCTTGAGTCTCTGCAGACTCGTTCCAAAAGGGAACAGTATTAGAGAGGGAAGGAGTGTTGGGATTGGGAAGAGGGGAAAAGAAGTTAGCCCAGGTATACTTCTAGATGTAGGAAATAAACCGAGAGCTAGGCACTCAGACCCTGGCAGGGGAATGTAATTGAATGAGATCTACGTTGAGTCAAAAGTGGATCAAGCCAGCAATGGGATTAGTAGCAGTACCTCACTGTTAGGGCCCTGGAGGGAGCAACGGAGTAAGGACAAAGTGGAGAATGTGTTTCCTCTGTCAAGGGACAGCACCTCCTCAGCACCAGACATTTACTGCCACTCAGGACTCAGGGACTCTGTGTTTACTGCATCTTGTGATGTTTAAGATAAGTCGGACATTATGATCTTATGTGAAATCATCCAATTTTAAAATATTGGCAGTTTATTCCTTTTTAAAAAAAAAAAACAAAAACACTGTGCATGTTCTTTGGATCTCAGCTATCTGGCAGCCTCCTTGATTCAAACAAACATCTGAGCTGTACTCAGAAGCATGTTTGAATGCCCTCTGCACCTCCTGAAATATATGCATGCCCAGCCTTGCCTCCCATAAAGCAATGAATGCGTATGCAGCCATAAAGATAGAGGAATACAGATAAGCATGTATCTGTACCCACCTGTAGGCACACACAGATGGGCACTTATAATCAGACAGAGGAACCGAAGCTGCATTCCACAGAGCATATAAATTGCTCTTGGGACCCAAACTACAATTGTGTGTTGAATGTGGGGTTTATTCAGCAATGAGAAAATGTCTTTAGTGTTTTAATCTTTACTGCTTGCCTTGTTCTGGGAGGGAGGATGGATGGATGGATCCAGCCTAGGGTTGGCCCACCCAATGTTTCAGGGGTCAGTTTCCTTCTAGAAATGGATACAGAGGTGCTGATGGGCCACTGTCAAGGCATTTCTTCCTGCAGCTTCTCTCTAGCTTGTACTCTCTGGGAGCCTATTGGTATTTGCATCAGGCTGATGTGGTGGGAAGAGTATTTTGAGGTGTATTATCTCAGTAGCTATGTTACCATGGGCAATCATAACTTTTGTAGGCTTCTAGTTTCATCATTGAAAATCTAGGGGATTGGATTAGAGGAATTAGATGCTTTTTATTCTGAAAACCATAAGCTTGGGAGAACCCTTTGTACATCTACATGTTTTTAGACAAAGATGTGTGCAAATTCTTAAAATGGGTGGGATTTAGTTAGCAAGGAAAAAGATGAGCAGCTAACCCAGGGCAGTTCAGTAGGAATCAGTGATCACAAGATACTTGTAACAGTTATGTCAGCATTGATTGTCAACTGAGCATCAGGCCTAATACAAACAAGAATTCAGCAGCTGTCTTTACGGAGAGTGTTACAAGGAAAATTATTTTCTGTAGTTGTGAGCTCACTGTATATTAAAGGAAGTTTTATATCTTCGAATTTGTGGCTTTTTCTCTTGATTTTTTTGAACCTAAATTTGAACACAGGAATAAATAGATCTTAAGTGTACATTTTGATGAGTTTTGTCATGTAACCATACTCTTCACCCCAGAAAATTCTCTTAGGCTCTTTCTTCCTAGTCACTTCCTACCCCATTCTCCCTCTCCATGCAACCACTGTTGTGATGTCTATCTCTGTAGATCAATTTTGCCTGTTTTAGAATTCAATGTAACTGAAATCATAGTATTTTTTTTCCATTCCACATAACGATTCTGACATTTATCCATGTTTTAGCATATTTCAATGGCTCATTCTTTTTTATTTTTGTTGAGTAGTATTTCACTGAGTTCACCACAGTTTGTTATCCATTTTCCTAGTGGGTGAATGTCCATTCGAGTTGTACCATTTTAGCTGTTGTAAATGAAAGTGTTAAGAACATTCTTGTACAAGTCTTTCGTGGACATATGTTCTCATTAACTTGGGGGGAAAACTGGGGGTGGGATTGCTGGGTCATATAGTTAAGTGTATATTTAAATTTCTGTGAAACTGCCTGGCCAGGCCTCCGGGGCACTTGGACCAGAAGTGTCAAGAGTCCTGGCTGCTTCTGCTGTTGTCTCTAGTAATTTCTCTTAGGGTAGGTGAAACTTATTTCCACATATGTCCATAGGCTGAGACCTTTGGCCACCAACACCACCTCTTAACCACAGCCTATACATTTCATAAACAATGTTTTTATAATTATGGGATTTGGGGCTATTCAGTTCTGAGCAGTCTCTCTTGCTGATTCAACTGTTAAACTAGATTTCCCTAAGTTTGATGTCCTCATTTCTCCATCTTACTGCCACATTTGACTCCTTTTTCTGAGTTAAATCATAGACACAGATCCCTGAGGCACAACTTCTTTGGCTCCCATGTGACTTTCCAGTGCCTTTTTGCTCTGTTGTGCTTTGGAATGGAGTCACAGTTACCAGTGAAACAGCAAAAGTGTTTGAAGTCCTAGCAACTGGAGCTTGTTAAATGAATAGACAAATGCTCCTACTAGCAACTACCTGGAAGTTTAAAAAGGGAATAGAGATAGATTATAATGACTTTGGTTATTTTCATGTCCTTGGGGTTTAGTTTGTTATGAAAACATTCTGGAAAGAATTTTTGAGCCGTTCTGGCCATAGATTCTTGAATTTGCTTAGCTTGGTCAGTAAGAAATGCTGTCAGAGTGCTACTTATTAAGTGGGTCTACAGACATCATGTGTGGATTAAAGAAAGGTGTGTACTAGCTGTGTGTGAGCTTGAAGTTGCATATGTTCTAAGTTCCTTTTTCATGCCCTCTGTTCTTCAGAGGTAGTAGAGGGTATGACGATGTTCCCTACTTCCAGGATTTGGCAGGTGGATTGTTTATTGCAGGGCAAACAGTCTTGGCCCCAGAGTTTCTCAGAGCTTTTCAATCCAGGGCATGACAATCCATGCTGTGCTAATGAGTCACTCAAACACTACAAAGATTAAATTAAGTTTGCTGTATTTGAAAAGGCAAATATATAATACATTATGAAAATGGTTAAAGTTAAAAAAAATCCTATATTAAAAGCATACTCAGCTTCCATTTTCTAGAAAGCTCCATGTATACAGTTGGGTAAGTAAGGTGAGTCCTCCTTGTACACTGTGGCTTTTACAAATGACCTGCTTCCTGGAGCTCGTCATCCTCATGTCTTCTCTCCCATCAGGATGACAATTGGGGAGAGACCACCACGGCCATCACAGGCACGTCAGAGCACAGCATCTCCCAAGAGGACATTGCCAGAATCAGCAAGGACATGGAGGACAGCGTGAGGCTGGACTGCAAGCGCTACCTGGGCCTCACCATCGCTGCATTCCTCGGACTTCTAGTTTTCCTCACCCCCATTGCCTTCATCCTGTTACCCCCGATCCTGTGGAGGGATGAGCTGGAATCTTGTGGCACAATTTGTGAGGGACTCTTTATTTCCATCTCATTCAAACTCCTTATTCTGCTCATCGGAACCTGGGCACTTTTCTTCCGCAGGCAGAGAGCCGATGTGCCACGGGTGTTCGTGTTCCGTGCACTGTTGTTGGTCCTCATCTTTCTTTTCCTGGTTTCCTATTGGCTTTTTTATGGGGTCCGCATTTTGGACTCTCGAGTCCGAAACTACCAGGACATCGTGCAATATGCGGTCTCCCTCGTGGACGCCCTCCTCTTCATCCACTACCTGGCGATCGTCCTGCTGGAGCTGCGACAGCTGCAGCCCGTGTTCACGCTGCAGGTGGTCCGCTCCACCGATGGCGAGTCCCGGTTCTACAGCTTGGGGCACCTGAGGTGAGTGGGGCACATTCACCTGGGGCTAAAGGACTTCTGCTGGCTCTAGAACATGGCTGGTCTTTAGCTTGGCAGGGCTGATGACAGACACAGGTGTGAGGACCGGGACCTGACTTTCCTTCTGGTTCTGGGAAGAGCTGTGTGAGTGCAGGAGTGGGTGGGTGGTGATGGGTGTCCTTGCGCACTGTCTCTCTGGACTTCTGGATGCAACAGGGCAGCCTCTGTCTCAGCCAGGTTCACATTTCGCTAGACTTGTTCTCAGACTTGTTGGCAGCTCCCAAAAGTCATATGGAAAGGACAGCTGCTGCCTTGATCCTGGCATTGGCTTATAAGCAGCCGATAAGGTGACTATTGATACCATTTTGCCCAAAATGGTACATTTGGTTTACCTTGGTATCCCAGTAGATACCAAGCTGTTCCCTTTTTTCTACTCTCAGAGATATCCTGATTTGATAATAAATTATATGGTCACCCTAAGGATCTCCTACCCAAAGAATCAAGCCCGGTCTGAGGACTCCAAATATATAAGATTTGAGTGTTTTGAAAAGGTATATGTGACGAAAAGTTAGAAATCAGTTGGGATGTCTTGAATTAAATCCAGTTATCTGTAGTTAACTAAAAGAAAGGATCATCATTTTATAAATGAAGGTAAAAACTTTATACAGATTACATATTCCACCTTTGTAGAACCCTGAGATATAGGTATTATTAATCCCAGTGTTACAGATGAAGAAACTGAGGCTTAGGGGATTTAAGTGATTAAGATATATTATTTGCACAAAATAATATATCTGGTCTTATTTAGAAGTCACTCAGATATCATGAGGTCAGTGCTGAATTAATGACCCTCTTATGACTTCTTTCACTTGGTGTTTAGTGGCTTTTTTTCCACCTGTTTTCTTCCACAATCTATGAGTTCTCCAACGACATGAGCTGTCTCTTGCTCCTTCTGGCTTCCTTGGTGCCTGGCATAGAGCAGAGCACACAGTTGGCAGTTGGTCCCTAGGTGAGTGAGCGACCTGGGATGTTTGACTTTGAAGCTTTGCTCTCCTTGGCAATACACGCTCATGTGTGTCACCTGTGATAGCATAGTTGGCAGAGCAGCCAAGACCAGCAAGGGCACCTTGGTGAGTACCAAAACAACTGCCTTTGTCACAGTTTTAGCCAGGGCCAAGGGAGGTGGTCCAGCCCCAGTTTGGAACCATCGGCATATTGGTTCACAACCTCTTTCATTCCTCTGGCTCAGCTTGTACTACCTGAGGACTGGGTGATTAGTGTTCAAGGTTGCTGCCGCCCTGATGGATGCTTGAAGGGATGGATTCAGTATCTCAGTCACATGCCCTGTGCAGCAAAATCTGGTGTTTCAGGTTCTTCACCAATGCCTGTTGGGCCCTGAAGACAAGAAGTAAGTCTGTACTGTGTGTGTCTCAGAGAGCTTTCTTTCCCCGTATCCCACATTGGAGAAGACTCATATTAAACAAGCCCAGGTCTTCAGACTCCAGAGACACAGGGTGTCTGCCTTCATAGCTAGTTCAGACTCATGGCCGGGGTTCATGGTCAGCTGGAGAGAGACCAGCACACTGCTCTATAGTAGACAACAGTGTTTGGTACTGTATATAGATGTGAGTAGCCAGCACCCTAACCATGAGTGAGGCCTGCTGCAGTTTTGTTTCTCAGTCTTCATCCCTAGTTGGTGTGAATCCCACCTGTGAAAAGTGATGTCCTTCTCACCTTATGTGGCAGAGGGACTAGCTTCCCCTCTGAGGGCTTCCTCCTTGCTTCCTCCTCTAAGACTAGTGGATCTGATCCATGCATTAGATTTGAGTCAGGATAAAAGGGACAAATTAAACAGGCTCAGGAAAGTCTGAAAACGTAATTGGCAGCAGCCTTAGTGTCTTGCCACATAGCTGGACGGAGGTAGAACTTCTCCGGGTGGGAGAAGCAGGCTGATGGTGCTGCATGGCTAGCAGGCTTGCTGCAAACCTAGTCTGTTCTCCCTGGGATCAGAAGTATGCTTGTCTTTGCATTTTAATTGGAAACTAGTCACTCAGCTCCCCAGGGAAGTACAGGGTGACAGAGGTCCAGCAGCCATGGAGGAGAGCATTCTGAGTGGTCCTTAATGTCTTCCTTTTGACTTCTCTTCCTCTCCCTGCCCCTTATAAGCCCCCTCCCTTTGTCCCTCCAATGGAGACCCTGAATTATGAGGTGGAAAGAGTGGCTGGAGAAGTTCAGGTGTCTTTCCTCACAGAGCCCTCAGGCAGGGCCGGATGCCCTGCGACAGCCAGGCTGTGAGAGAGCAGGTGTGGCACTGCCCCTGGCACTGTGTGAGCCTGGTCACCCACTGATCTTTTGGCTAAATCTGGTCCAACCCCAGCAGTGGCTGAAGAGTCACTGGGCCAGAAATGTAACTTCCAAGCCCTTTTGTAAAGGGTAGACACAGGAGGGAAGCAGGAATAGGAAAGGACAAAGCAAGTCTCAGACATGATAATAGCAGGGCTTGTCAGCCCCAACCACAGCCCCCGCTGCTCTGATTTCCTTTATGCAAAGCCTTCGCTGGCTGCAGAGTGACCTATTGGCTTAGGTGTTCAGCGACGGGGAGTTCTTTCTTACTGTTTCAAAGGTGGTTTTAGTGAATGGGCTGAGCTATTTTTGAGAGTGGTCAAAAGAATGCCCACTCTGTAGTTTCTTAAAGAAAATAGACTTCTTGTTGGTTCATAAAAGGCACTTGCTGTGGCCCTGTTTTTGACAGGAATAGCGTTTTGGGCTCATTTGAAAACTTGCAGAAGTATAAAAGGTTACTGTCATGGGTACAAGGCACCATAAAAGGTTAAAATACTTCCTAACCTTCTCCCAGTGCCTTAGGGGTTACGGGGCTTTTTGTATTTCAGGTGTTAACTCACCCCACCTTTAAGGGTCCAGGCAGGTGGGGTGGTAGTGTCCCCAGCTGAGAACCAGAGTCATTTGGTAAGGGACCTGTCAAGGTCACCAGGAGCCAGTGCCCTGCTGTGCATCACACCTGTGCTCTCTGCAGCACATGGGATCTGAGCACAGTTGCTTTGTGGCTCTCCATACACAGTCCACGTGTCACTTTCCTGGGCTCTGTTCTCACAGTGATTTGATAACCTTTCCACAGTCTCACCAAAGACTAGTGATTTTTCTTTCTTTTGTTTTTTTTTTCTTTTTGAGACAGGGTCTGTAGCCCAGGTTGTCCTCAAACCTGTGACTCTTCTGCCTCTACCTCCAGGGATTATAGGTATGTAGCATCATGCCCAGCTTGGAGGCGAGTGATTTCTTATTGTATTTAGGAGGAACCCAGAAGAATACAGAAAAGAGACTTAAAACAACATATAATTATCCTAATGAGTAATTTCTCTCTTTTGAAATATTTTAAAAAATTTGTTACAATTACTATTTTTTAGTGATACCAGACCTAGAGCTCAGACTTGCAAGGTAGGCACTTGAGTCATGCTTCCAGCCCTGTTTTGAAATCTTTCGATGGAAAAATATTGTGAATATTGGAAAATAGACATTAGTGTAATTGATTGAATCTGAGATGTAGAACAATAGAGACAAAGGAAATCTTAACAATGGACAATTTACATTTCTTTGCTCTGTGCTAGCTACCTTCTCAGCTCCTAGCATACATTTCAATCTTTTTTTTTTTTTTTTGGTGGGACTGAGGTTTGAACTCAGGGCTTTGAGCTTGCAAAGCAGACACTCTACTGCTTGAGCCACACCGTCAGCTCCATACAACTCAATATTGACAACAACCCTTTGGGTGCTGTTATTCTTCACTGTCAGATGATGAAACCAAGGTGTGAGAAGTTAACTGAGTTGTTTAAGGCCCCACAGTGTAATTAATTATTGAAGCCAGGATTTGAACCCTGGTGGTCTGATTCCAGAATGATCTTAACCATTCACCATACTGTCCCTGAAGAGAGGATTCAAGTTCACATCACAGCTGTAGGAACACGAATGAACTCACAGGCACTGTCTGGTGCTTACTGTGTGCCAGTCCGGGTGTTAGCTCTTGTTGTATACGTTATCACACTTCGTTCAACTCTGATTTCAGGGATGTCAGGGCTGGCTGGCTTGCTCTCTGCAGTTCATTCCTAAACTCCACTGGTCTTTTATTTACTCAGTGGACAAAGCCTGGTTCTTTGGACCACAGCAGTACATTTGAGCCTTTGGACAGACCCATTTACTTTTCCACTTCATGTGGAGGCATCTTTTATCCCTTGCTATGTAACAGCTACCTCAAAACATAGTAGCTTAAAATAATCACCATTTCATTATTTCTCACAGTTCTGCAGTGGGTGTTGGGCTCAGCTGGGAGGTTCTTCTGCAGGTTTTGCCCATGCTCCCTATGTGTTTGCAGTACACAGTGAACCTGCTATGACTGGGCTTTGTTTCCGTCCTGTGTATTCTGAGGTCTTCTCCCTCTCCACATGGGCTGTTTGTTGTTGCTGCCTTAAGGTGTTTTGACTTAAATGGCAGCTCAAGGCTCCCAAGAGCACCAAAGCAGGAACTCCCAAGCCCCATAAAGCCAAGACCTGGAGCTGGCCCAGCATTGCTCCTACTGTGTTTTCTTGGTGAGGACTATGTAAGGTGGGCCATAGTAGGAGGTCTTGTTCAGTGTAGCAGACATCCGCCACCTTAGGCTCCTAGTCTGTTTGCTCTACTTTGCTTGTAATTCTAGCATTTAATTATTGATTTCTGCACCTTAAAATGACCATCAGTAGTTTGAAAGCACTGCTTTCGGTGGGTGTGAAAACATCAGTGAAAAAGGATCACTGAGAGTCATCATTAAGAAGAGAGACAGAGAGACAGAGAACCCACAAAGGCAGACACGCTTACAGTGTTCTGGGGACCCCTGTTCACAATGAGCTTGCTCTGCGGAGTTTTCATGTTGGTGAGCTCCATTGAAGCTAACTCAGCCACAAGTTGTAAGGATTTTTAAGCATGTTTCATTCATTGAGACTTACAGGACCTCACAGATT